AACATCCAAAGACTGAATTATTTCGACACATCACAGGCATAAAATGTACTCAAAATAAGCTAGTTATCTTGACAAATAAGCTGTTCTTGAAATTTCGGTGATGCCACGAAAAAAATCCACACAGAAATCCAAACCCAGCTAAAGTTGCCGTTTTCTTGCCTTTCCTGGCACTGACCTGATTGCCATTCGTGTGGATTGACTTTAAGGTGTGTTTGCACTTTCTAATGTTAGAAAAGTTTCTGAACCGAATGATGAGAACCAGCAGGTGTTTCTGCGTCGAAAGTAAACCTAGAGATCACTGAAATCAGTTTTTAGGAAGAGATGTATTCTTTTTGCAGAAATTAATAAAACGTAGTGTCAATAATATAATTAATTTCATTATTTATCATGTTATAAAATAAAATTTGAGTACTGTATATCGAATCCCTTGATATAATCTATAATTTACAGCAATTAATACAAATTACATATGTTTATCATTGTTATGGCTACGACTACTTTATCTTATAGCTTATGGAACTTTAGCTGGGTTTTCACAGGCGGGGTCACATGTATCCCAATTGAGAAGAAAAGACAATCACAACTTCTGTTTTATGCCGATTTTAAGATTCAGTTCACAGTGGTTGCACCAAGGATGAGTTTGAGCAGAATCTAGTTGCAGCAATCAAAATTTTATTAACATTAACTCAAATTAGCAATCACTCTAGAGAGAGATCAAGACACAGGATCAGAACAACCACTTGAAACTGATGTATGAACGGAACTGGGAACTCATAAAACTAAACCACAACATAAACCTGACATAAATTTTATACATAGATATTTCACCATAAATATGTTTCATCATATACAACGAAAGAGTAAGAAAACCTGCATTATAGCTCAAGCTGCGAGGTCTCTCTGTATAACACAGGTACCTTTATGTTCAGCTGCTAATGAGAGGTCTGTAATCTTGGTGTTTATTGTGTTTAAACACGGCAAAAAATGCTTTTCTTACTTAAATTTTTGTCTTTTTTCAGCCAAAATATCTAAAAATTCTTAAATCAAGAAGGATTTTCTAGACAAGTAAAAATCATTATCATCAAAAACATGTCAAAATTAAGTGAGTTTTTGCCTGAAACAAGCAAAATAATCTGCCAATGGGGTAAACAAAATAATCTTGTTTTCTGTTTGAAATAAGATTATTTTGCTTACCCCATTGGCAGATTATTTTGCTTGTTCTAAGCAAAAACTCACTTAATTTTTACTGTTTTTTTCTGAAAACAAGACAATAATTTGTACTTGTCTAGAAAATCCTTCTTGATTTAAGAATTTTTAGATATTTTGCCTTAAAACAAGACAAAAAAATTTTTTCAAAAATACTTACAAAAAGTAAGAAAAGCATTTTTTGCAGTGAACTGGTTTTGAGTATGACACACTTGGCATTGCTCAAGGATCTTTCTGCACGTGCTCACAGGCTAGAACTCGTCTTCGTAAAGAAAGGCTGTAAAGGAAAGGTTGTGTGGAAAGCCCTTATATGGAGGTGGCTTGGGCATGTTTATGCAAATGCCTAACCTCGAGCATGCAGTCATTCATTTAGAATACTCCAAATTCATTAACATTACAGTGAGGTTAAGAACAAATGAATGTGTTGAGAAGTAGGTGGAAATATTTTCGTGAGAAGTTCCCCGGTGCACACAAATACGAAATAATCTACACAGTTATTATTGAATGAGACCCAATGTTTTTCTAAAAGTCTTCAGCATTTGGAACAATACAAGGCTAGATAAAAAAATGAGCTTTTAAGTATAGTTGAACTACTCATTTAATACATGAAGCCAAGTCTATCTACTTCACCTAAAAAACACCCAAGGACAACTGTAAAAAAGAAAAAGAAAAACAACAACAACTGTTGTATCACAGTGTCTCACTCTCTCTGTACTAGCTCATATTTTCTGAGCAATTCTGGAACAATTTGTTGCAGCACTTCTCATGTTACTGACTCACCAGGATGAATCACTTCTGTTGTGGCGTTCATCATTCATCACTTTGAAAAAAATAAAAAAGCCTCATAAATGTAAATGCATGATATAATAGCACAAAAGTCTGTATGTCCATATGAGACTTGTGTGTATATGCATAAAGAATAAGGAACTGGCTGTTTGATGTTTTAATTGGTGATTTGTGAAGGGATTTATAAGTGAAAGTGAATTGACGTGTGGCCAAGTATGGTGAACCATACTCTGAATTTGTGCTCAGCATTTAACCCATCCGTGAACACACACAGTAGTGAACACACACACACACACCGTGAACACACACCCGGAGCTTTAATTGACGTTACTGAGCTCAGGGATGCCTTATTTAAGACAAGACTAAACCAGGATTTAAAGGTGCCATAGAATGCATTGATACAATATTTAAAATTATTCTCTGATATCTACATAGAAGGTATGTGGCTTAGGTAAGGGCAAAAAATCTCCAGAAACGGTTTTACATGTCCATTTGCAACCCTAGGATTTGTCCCTAGAATGAAATGGTCTGTTTTTACCTTATTTGGAAGTATATGCAAATGTTGGGGGCGTAACTATTTGTGATCCCGACTGTAACATCACAGTCAGTGTTATGTTCTGAATCGCCTATTTTTCAGTGGTCTTTTGCATGCACGAGATTTACATAAGACGGAGGAAACAATGTTGTTTGAGGCTCACGGTATTTTCATTTCCATGTACAGAACTGTTATTATTCAACTATGCCAAGGTAAATACAGTTTTCCATTCTATGGCACCTTTAACCATGTAGAGGCAGACAAACGAGAACCAATTCCTTGGCTCGCTGTCTGTTTACCCCAAAGAATAGAACAGGTGCACAAGAGATTCCATGAACTGCATTTCAAACACCGGAACAACTCAACAGATGCACCAATATTTCAAGTGGGACTGTTAACCTCCACTAGCAGCCCAAGTGGAAGTGGGGCCTCCAGACCCATCTCAACACTATTAGAAATTATTCAGAAGGCAATGAGCAGAATGACAGTGGTTTCGGAAAGAGAGCAACAAGGGAGATGAAAGAGAAAGGATGAGTCAGACAGTATTTCTACCTCTGGACATTAAAGACAATTTCCAGGAAGTGTATTGAGGCAGATAATTTTTGTACAGATTGCTTGATGGCATAAATAGGTAGAGTAAAATGTAATGCACAGTGTCTCTTTTATCTCACTGCTATACCAAGAGAGACATTTAGACAAACACACACACAATAGCTATAGCTGATGTATATTTCAGCACTTCAGATCTGTACCCAGAGAGATGTTGTGATGGAGATGTTGTAAACTCCATGAGGATCACCATGCTAAATTTGGAGATGTACTGTGGATGGTGCACTGTTGCTGAGGAGAAACTTTATATCTGAGTGTTTGTGAGCACTACCGTGTAGGAGGCGGCTAACAGTAGATGATAGGACAGGGAGTGAGCTTACAGAAAAATAGAACAGACTGTGCAAAAACTATTCTAAAAACAAGACTTAACTAAAAGAACAACTTTAAAAGTTGAGTCAATAATAAAGAAGAGTGTTCAAGAACAGAACTACAAAACAAGCACAGGGAACAGGAAACTAAGCAACATAAATGTCCGAACACAAAGCGAAGGCACAAAGACAGGCACTACTTAACAGTATTCATGTTGGTTTTATATGGTTTAAATTTAGTATGGTTTTGAATTATTATATATGTATACTCATTGGCCACTTTATTAGGTACACCTTGCTAGTATCGGGTTGGACCCCCTTTTGCCACCACATCCCAAAAGTGCTCTTTGATGTGAGATCTGTTGACTATGGAGGCCATTTGAGTATAATGAACTTATGTTCAAGAAACCAGTTTGAGATGATTTGAGCTTTGTGACGTGGCACATTATCCTGCTGGAAGTATCAAAAGATTTGTACACTGTGGTCATAAAGGGATGGTCAGCAGCAATACTCTAGGCTGTGGCATTTAAACAATACTCTAGGCTGCGGCATTTAAACAATGCTCAGTTGGTACTAAGGGGCCCAAAGTGTGCCAAGAAAATATCCTCCACACCATTAAACCACCACCAGCAGCCTGAACCGTTGATACAAGGCAGGATGGATCCGTGCTTTCATGTTGTTTACACCAAATTCTGACCCTACCATCCTAATGTTGCTGCAGAAATTGAGGCTCATCAGACCAGGCAACCTTTATATATTGTCCAGTTTTGGTGAGCCTGTACAAACTGTAGCCTCAGTTTCCTGTTCTTAGCTGACAGAAATGGCACCCGTTATGGTCTTCTGCTGCTTTAGCTCATCTGCTTCAAGGTTTGACATGTTGTACGTTCAGAGATGCTCTTCTACATACCTTGGTTGTAACGAGTGATTATTTGAGTTACTGTTGATTATCTATCATCTCAAACTAGTCTGGCCATTCTCCTCTGACTTCTGGCATCAACAAGGCATTTTTGCCCACGGAACTGCCGCTCATTGGATTTTTTTAAATAATTTTTTTGCACAATTCTCTTTAATCCCTAGAGATGGTTGTGTGTGAAAATCCCAGTAGATCAGCAGTTTCTGAAATACTCACACCAGCCCATCTTGTACCAACAACCATGCCACGTTCAAAGTCAATTAAATCAATTTTCTTCCCCATTCCGATGCTCGGTTTGAACTTCAGCAGATTGTCTTGACCATGTCTACATGCCTAAATGCAATGAGTTCTTGCCTTGTGATTGGCTGATTAGATATTTGCATTAACAAACAGTTGAACAGGTGTACTTAATCAAGTGGCCGGTGAATGTATACTGTTTTAATACAGAAATGAAAAACATGCCTATCATAGACGGTGTATGAATTGCAATTTCATTGTATTTTAAAATAAATAAACATAAATAGATCCAGACTATTCAATATGATGTCATTGACCTAGCTAAGAGAAACTGTTCATCATCACAAAATCAAATTCTGCTCTCTCCACTCCATAAACCGTAATGTTTGGGTTTTTTTAATTACAGATTCTTGTGTGGCACACACGGACGGAAAAACCTGTCCTGGTGAACGAAGGCAAGAAAGGCTTTACAGACCCAAACGTGGAGATCTGACATCTGCTTCGGTGTCGGTAATGAAAAAGCAATCTGTTCAGACTTAATCATCTCAGGTGTCACTGAGCAAATATGGGGTCATTGAAGGACATGAACCATGTGTTTGAAATGCATCTGGCCCTTCTAAGTGACAGAAGTGTGGCTTTGTACACTGAACATTCTTCTTACTTTGTGTTGCAGGGATGCTTCCAGAAGGACCCAAAAGGGGATGGCAGGGAGATATTACCTAATACCACATTTTTGAACAGTTTGGATGCTTTTTCCTGTAAACCACAACTAAACAAGCTCAACAATATGGACTTATTATTCTAAAGCACAGATTAGTCTTTTTTAAGGCAATATCATCAGTATTTTGCAAGAATAAAACCAGAGGGCACTAGACAGAAAGGAAATTGTTATGTAAATTGATGAGGGAACATGTGAGAACTGATAAAACTCCTCACTTCCATGGTTTTATAAACTCTGGATGAAGAAGAGACACAAAAAAATGGTTACAACAGTCTCAAAGACTGACCAAGAGCGAACAGTCATCCATTTATGAACGTTGATGTTCCTTCACCTCTAACGGATTGATACTTAAAAACATAAAGAAGGGAATGTCTTCTTTTTACATAATGTGTATTTTAAGTTTATGTTTTTGTCGTTTACATTATTGTCTTGCTAGCACAGCACTACTGATATTTTGCCTTAGTTCAAATTCAGCGTCACTTTGCAGTATTAAACCAGTTCTATCATATAACAGGGCTAGCTGCTATACTGGATTTAGTGATTACAAAGTTGTAACACGGTTCTCATGACTAAGACCTAAATGATATGAATAGCACTTGAATTTGTTCCTGTGTGTCCATTGTTCCTGTTAGGACATGCGTTGTAAATATAATTTAAAGATGAACAAACAGAGACTTTAAAATAAAGTGGTCTAGCATTCAACAGAACAAACAATGTAACTACTGTATTTGTACTTCAGTTTAAAGTAAGAATCCATAGTTTAACTATTACAACATCTATAAAACTTCACACATGTTCACAGTGGTTATACCAAAGGAGACAGAGCTGATGGGTAGGGTTTCACAATGTTAGTATTCAATATTAATTGGGCTAGCCTCCGAGAGCAGCACAGAGCTAGCTCGCCTTAGTAAATATTCAGATGTATTTATATGTCAAACCGAAGCTTTGGGCTTTGCAGAGGGGACATGTCATGAAGACATGTTGCTGTACTAATGAAGCTAATACTGAGCCACCTGGGAATCTAGAGTGAACAAAATGTATGCTTGCATAAAGCAAAGCTATTTTCTTATATCAAAAACTGTGAGTGAATATTCAAGGCACATCACTGAAATTGCACGTGCAAAAAATCTTAACCTGTGCTAATATTACGATAAATCTGGCCTGATTAGCATTAGACTACTAAATTTGTGAATCACTTTAAGCCGCCTTTTCAGTGCTTACGTCAGATTATAGACCCAAATTTGTTCGCAATGGTCCGATCCTTTATGGATTCCAGTGTTGTGAAAAATTAGGGTCTCCACTGGGACCTCAAGTGATACCATTGGCTTAAAGAACTTTTAATGGGTACTCTGTTTAGCGCCGGATTACAATTACTACAAAATCATGTTATATGTCTGTTTTAGTTAGCCTACAGACTAGCATAGCAAACAGATTAATTTGATCCTTTTATTAAAGGATCATTTTCAACCAGGTTTGCATCATTACAATAATGTTGTAATGAAGTAGTATATGTATGGTTAATAGCCAAATGACACATTTTGCGTCATTTGACAGACATTTCCAGACAAATAAATGGGGATATCTGGGTGCGGGTAACATGGAGAAGGAGTACAAATCATGTTCACTTACATATACTAACAACATTGTAACAATATAAAGCTGGTTGAAAATTGCGTAAGTTGAATGAATGTAAACTATCGATAATTAAAAAAAAAACTCTCTCCTAAATACCTGCTGCTTCTGTAGAATAGGCGTTAATAATAAATAAACATCATTATTTACACTGTTTCTATTCTCCAAAATTAGTCTTATTACTGCATGTTTTCAGCTATTCATTAACCGTAGGGTAAATACTTGTGTTGTGACTTGTAGCTTCACAAACAAGTGCGTAGACAATGAAAAGGTGGCTTTAAGCCCAAAGTATACTCAGGTTTTTATGCATATGCTAAGATATGCGTACAGTGCGCTTGATGTAAATATCATCATCAACATCGCTAAGTATTTGCGCCAAAACCCAAAGTACACTTTGGGCTTAAGTCCAGAGACACAGCCACAATAAACAAGCACTTATGTGAGGAAATTAATACATACCCGGCACTCTTGTTTAAACGAGTACAAAGACATGTTTATCGGTCATAACTTCTGGAAAGAAATGGCGCAGACACTAGACAAGGATGAAACATTCTAGTGTGCATGTTTGGAGTATATTTTGAAAGTGTTTGCATCAAAATTCAAGTATACTTTGGGCTTTAAACTGGCTTAAAAGAAGCAACAGTATATTGTAGCCCTCTGCAGCACCTATAATCAACACACTGTAAACACTTGTATCATGAAAAATGCATATACGTGCATTTTTATACCCTGAGCACAAAAGTAAAAAAGGAAAGAAAGTAAACAAATAAGCAAGCAAGCCCTCCAGCTGTTTCATGTTTCATCTGGAAAATACATTTACGGGTAGATGTCGAGGTTTGCTGCGTTACTTGTAGCTATACATAAGCATTTTTTTTTTTTTTTAAACATTGTAAAGCACAAATAGTTCATATGTCTGACCATAGAACATTATTTGAGGAACAGAAGTTTTCCTCTGCCAGTTCATTCTCACTTCGTTTGGGTGGCATTGACAGATTTGAAAGGGTTAGTAAATCTTGTACTGTCACTTTAACAACCCATAATTAGCTCATCAATCAGTTGTGAGGCTTAGGGTGCATAGCACGTTTAATGGGATAAAACTTTTCAAATTTTGAGGACATAACCTCCTCCTGGGATGTGATGGATTATGGCTGTAGGATGTTTCAGAAAAAGCAACTCCTCATTTCTTTGTAATTTCTGAAGTTTGTGTGAAATCAAAGTCTTCAGTGAGCACACACATAATAACACACAGCTCTGCGCTCTTATCTACGGCTAACAAAGTACCACATCCCTACTGAGTTTCAAAATCCTCTTGAGCTCACAGAGGCCTTCAGAACGGCCAGACAATACACACGCAGCCTAATGAAGGACGGGACTGTCATTAAACTGAAAGACAGATTTTTTTTTCCCTCAACTCACATTCTCTTTTATTGAGCAATTAGCAAGCTCAGTCCATTAAAAGATGAAAACCATAGAAAAACGAGGACTTTATTGTAGCATTTCGACTGTCTGAAATGCAACCATCTTTATGGAGACACTTGCAGTAGCTTTTATTTGATTCACATCTGTGTTTCCAGTATTTCATTAGTCTGTGGTTCATAGGGGTCAACTTCTCTGCCAAGTTTGTTTTCCTTTCATGCTCTGAAAAACCACATCCATCCTTTCTTTCCACATTCACCTTCAGAGCACACGAGTGCATGTATACTAACACTGCAAGACAATTACCATGGCACCTGTTAGTTGCTTTAACGGTGATGCTGAGATAAAATTGTTTGCTTTAGAACCAGAACACGATAGCTGAGGCAAAGCAAAGCAAACCATAAAGATGACATATGAACATGTGAATTCATTCGTCAAGAAATTGCCTTCTAGCCTGTTTCTTTTTCGCAGCTGCATCTGTTTTGTGTCAGATGCTGCCACAAACTCCCCACTTAATGTATTGTTGAAGAAAAACAACTGTTGTACGAGGTTTATGTATTTATTCTATATTGATATATTTATGTATTTATTTACATTACAGAGTCTTTTCTTATGAAGCTGTACTTCCGCTCAAATATAAAACGTCTGTTTCTTTCTTATTTCATGAAACACTGGCTGAGCTCACAAACAGCACAGACCCATTTTTGTTTTCTCATATTGCTACTGAACTGGGACTTGATTGATGGACTAACAAAACAGGCGGCTCATTAAAAAGCTGTTGACGAAACCGACGTTAGGTTATGACCTGCGGCACAAGCCTCCAGTAATCAAGGACATCTCTCCTGATTTACAATCTGATTCCGAGCCACATTAGCACCGTTGTATAATTATCCAAAATCATGCCAGGCTGTTTGGTCATCTATTTTTGTAAAAGTGATCAGGTTTTCCATATTGCCCAGACTAAGTGCTTTGCTGAAATTAGTATGTTTGCCCGAAAACACCCACCTTCATCTTCTCTCTTACTTGCAAGACGAAACATTTCTGCATGTTGCTCTTGTAAATGTTCTTCTTTTTGTTCCACAGATCATCTCAGAACGAAAGAGAATAAAAATGTCAGAAAATAATAAATGTGTTAGGAAAAAAATAATGTGTTTTGAGTTATTGGATGTGTATTTCAGTATTTTATTTTTTTTTTTATGATTTTGCTTTACACGTGCATGTCATATGCACATCTTACCACTTAAGGCAAGACACTATACAGGCAAAACCATAGTTTTTTCATGCACTGGCCAATATTGAGATTTGTTGGGCTATTTTGCGTGTTTATTTTATTGCAATTCTTAATGCCTTTCTCAAAATCTCCTGCGCTGAGCCAGAAAAATTGCCTAATGTGATTAATCAACTGGGGTGATATCTTAGTTATTTTTAGCTTATTCACCTGTGGCATCTTGCCTTAAGTAAGAAAACGTTTAACCGGGAATTATTTTGATCTAATATCATGTTCTCTGGTTTTCAAAGATGTGCATTTCAGGTTGGAATAGTCTTCAGTCATTCTGTAAAATTAAAATTCAAAAAAGATTTTCATTCAACTGTGATGTTTTTGTTGGAGGCGCATTTTGTTCTTCTATAATTTCATTTCATAACAAACCAACAACATTTCTCAATGAAGAGCAAAGGATGTAATGTCACCGAGTCAAATGGAGCATATACTGAAAGCTGGACTGGGGCAGCATATATGTGGAGATTGGAGCGAAGTTCCAATTCCCAGTCAATGCATGCTGCAATAAGCCGGCTCCATTGGTTCCACTCCAGGTTGTTAATTTTCTCACTGGCAAGAGAAACCCGCTTGAAGCGATCATTTGAGCAAGAGAAAACACGAGCTGCCATTACTTTGAAACAGCCACTCATCAAATCACACAGAATTTATTCAGTTTCTACTCAACACTGTATATTACAGTTTGGAATGGTGTGAACACAGACAAACGGAGCAATAGCAAAGCAGCTTGGGTCAATCAGATTTGAAGACTGGAACTGTTTCATAATGTTTTAAATGAAGGTATAAAGTAATTATACTATGAAGTGTTGATGGCAGCAGTCCTGTAATGTTTGAA